TTATATAATGATGTTTGGACGTTTGTCACTCAATCGCACAAAAACACATAGACGAATTTAAGAAATAATTTGGTACACATATAAATTAATGGTCATGTGTTACCGGCATATAATAGGCCACCCCTTCCTTTCCAGTGGGTATCGTAGGAGGCGACTAGAGGAGGGAGAAGTATGGTCAGCAGCGTACCTGTTAAAATATCTCCAAAGCTTAACTGCGGTGGCCAATCCGCCTGCCAAGTGAGACGACTACTAGGAAATACCCTCCAAGGGAGAGGTTTATGTTCAGCAGTGGATAGTTATGGCAGATATGATGATGATGCTGATGATGATGACGATGAAATAGCAGACATTACAAATTTTCTCATTGCGATTATTTCTTGTAATTGTTTATATTTATAATAAGTTTATTATTGTAATCTTTTGGAGGAAACAATGAAGAGTATCTATCTATCTACAAAAAGACATTTTTATAAATGGACATTTATAATAAAATACTAAGTATCAATACCTTATTCGAAGAAATTAAATAAGAAATGTTCAATTGAAATTATACATACGAAACCCACTCATTTTTAAACCGATCACTCTTAACCCGATTTTTTCTGAATCGTTAGCAGCACTTCCATATGGAAGACAAAGACACGCCAAACTTAATAAGCTAATGTATAATACAGCCTACATTAAAAAGTAATACGATAGTTAAAGTATACGATTTACCGACATCAATCATGGTTATTTTCATATATTTATTTATTATTTATTGCACAATAAAACTTTGTACAAATGGCGAGCTTAATGCCATATGGCATTCATATATTATATATTCTATCGTAAATTACTCACTGCTTAATAAAATTACGTTTAATAATACATCTCATGTGAAATTTATTGCCATGTAATCATGGCATAGAATGGGCCACCCCTTCCTTTCCTATGGGTGTCGTAAGAGGCGACTAATGGAACTTGACGAGGGATGGGCAAGAGCTTCCCTCTTGAAACATCACCAAAAGCCAAACTGCAGTTGCCAAACCGCCTGTGTGGCAACTACTGGCAAAATCCCCCAACAAGAAAAGGGCTATGTTCAGCAGTGAACAATTGATGGCTAACATGATGATGATGATATGATATTCAAACAAAAAGGTTTTACACTTTTAATTAACAACCGAAAAATTATGTTTACAATAAATAGGATTTAGTTATATTAGTCCCATATTAACTTTGTGACAATTATGTTCCGTTTTATTTTGCGAAACCAGTGCACAAAAGGAGACACAGAGTTTTGCGTTCTAAATTCAAATTAAAACTTATTAGAATTGTAACTTAAGCTAAATTAAGTACAGACTATGCGTGCGTGTGTGGGGGGGGGGGGGGTGAGAGAGAATAGAAAGCATAGTGACACATAACGTGTTTTTATTTTGTGAAATAATTTAAAAATTATCCTGAAATCTCAACGAAGAGGTTGCTTATAAAATGTCCGTTCAATGCGGAATCCAAAACGGCTAGGAAAAGGGGAGGATAAAATAATTTAATACAATGATTTTAATTAGTTAATTATAAAAAAAAAAGTATATTTTAAATTTACAATAGTCATGAGCTGTATGGGCAGCAATCTTTGCCTTTCCCTTTAGTGTAAAGAGAACTAAAGAAAAAAATAACGTGTCTATAAAACATATTATCGTTAATCTACGCGTATTCGTTTTAAAATATATTCTGACTTTAAAAATTTTGTCTAATGAAATTACCGTAATTTTTTTTTAATCCACTTACGTATTTCATTGTATTTCTACATTGTTAACTTGCGAACTTGTATACTTTTATACACACTCTACTCTCTCTCTGTACTCTCGTGCATAAGGGGAGGAATTCATATCACATCACAGATTCATATCAGGAGGCAACGACCAGGAAAGTAGATTCAATTTGAACGGGGCATCGAACCGACACTCCGCTAACTAGGAAAGGGGTTCGTTAATTGAAATCTCGCTTTCAGCGCGCCGGGTCGCATCGCACCTGTAGTGCTATTCTCTAAACAAACAGCCTAGAGATCAGCCTTGGCGCAGCGATGAAATATTGAAATGGTATTCACTAATTCCTAAGACGCGACACTAGCGCCCAAAGACGAGCTCAAAGACGAGCGGCGTAAACGGGAACTACTCAAGGCTGTGCGATTTGACATTTTGTCATAGTATTTGGTATTCACTAACAAAAATCAGCCTCGCCTTCGCCGACAGCCTAGCCTACAGCCTCGATTTCTTATGTCAAATTCAAAAGCTTTGTTTTCTACGCTGTTTACATAGTATTCAACTAATATATTTCTTTCTTTCTTGAATTCTGTGATATTTAATAGCATTGAAATTATCAATTTGTGTATAAAAACGATGGCTGCTCGTTTATGTATAATGATCCATTTGTTAGAAGAAACTAAAAAAGAAGATGATTACAAAAAACGACAACAAACAAGGCAGTTGCGAAATACACGCACAATTTTACGTGATGTGGATTATATTCGACATTACAGACTGTCTGAAGACCTAATTAATATGTTGGAAAGTGAATTAGCACCATATATGCCTGTGTGCCGCCGTTCCGGAGGTTTGTCACTCAGGCTAAAGGTTTGTAATTTCAACTTTACTGTTTGATATTATTATGTAAATAAAATAATAATCATTAATTTTTTTTGTAGATATTATGTACTTTGTCATTTTTGGGTAATGGAAGTTACCAAAAACTTATTGGAAATAATTTAGATACTTTAATCTCTCAACCCTCAGCATCCAGAGCAATTCATCAAGTTATAGATGCGTTAAACAATATAAATATTGTCCAGAAATATATAAGATTTCCACAAAATTCTCAAGAAAGGCAAGCTTTAAAACAAAGGTAGTAAGAAAGAAAGAAACATAACAATCCCTAAGTGCATAACAAAAAGTATATTTTGTTAAGAAATTTTTAAATAGTTTATGATTTTTTATGTATATGAATTATATATTGGTATTATTTTCAGTTTCTATGAAAAATTTAAGATCCCTGGTGTATTGGGTTGCATTGATGGTACACTTGTATCAATGGTTCGACCTCATCAACATGAAGAACGTTATTATTGCCGAAAAGGCTATCATGCAAGAAATGTCATGATTGTAAGTTATTGGCAATTATATTCAGAATAATTTTTGATATTAATATTTGTTCTACTATATATGTAAGTGCATTTCTTTATCCAGATAAATGATGCTGATCTGAATATTTTACATGTAGATGTGACATTTGGAGGAGCAACCCACGACAGTTTTGTTTTTACAAATAGTATAATTAAAGATCATCTAGAAAAACTTCATAATAATGGGGAAGTAGTATACCTGCTTGGTAAGGTTCCAATCTTTGAACTACTTTGTGGAATATTATATATTACAAATAATGACTATTCTTTATTTTTTTCAGGTGATTCTGGATATGCTCAGAGGCCCTACCTGATGACCCCTTTTAATAACCCAAACCCAGGAACGCCTGAGGAACACTACAACACTATGCATAGCACTGCTCGAAACAGTGTGGAAAGAACAATAGGCATTCTAAAAGGGAGATTTAGATGCTTATTAGTTCATAGAGTGTTACATTATGACCCCACAACAGTTTCAAAAATAGTAGTAGCTTGTTGTGTCCTACACAACATTTGTAACCGTGCAGGATTATCTTCTCCAACTTTAGCCTCCACAGACTTAGAACAGGAAAAAAGAATACTTGGCACATTGAGACAAGCTCAGTTGTCTCAAGACAATGTAGCCACTGGGCGCTTATGTAGAGCACAAGTAGTGCGTCAATTATGGCGTGCTCGTCATATGTAACAAAGTTTTTGTATGCATAATGACACCACTGGTATTGTAGGTCGGTATAAACTATAGTAACTATTTCCTATTATGTGGTCCATGCACCTGATGACTATTGATGTATAAAAATAATTAAGTGTTAAAATATTATAAATCACTCAATTTGACTCAATTACCCATGCAATAAGTTACTTATTCATGTCAATTTATTATTGTTAAATTAATCTAATACAGTTTAGGCTGACAAACAATAATCTCTTTCACAATCATGATTGTAAAACTTAAGACCTTTATGATATGGTCATTAGATAAAAATGTAATGAAAAAGAAAATAATTTCATGTTCTTTTATTTTTCAGGTGACTAGAACCCTTCTAATAGTGTAAACCCTTGGACTCTCACCATAATATCAAAATCCACTGATTGCTGTCTTATTTGTGATATGCATATTCATCTATACCATCTCACAGATCAAAGAAGCAGGAAAGAAAATGCAGTAGTCTTAAGACTATTTATATTATGTTTTTTGTACTTTATATTACATACTTTTCATTTTTATTGTAGCTTTTTTGTCTAATCGTATGTTAAATATTAATAATAAGTAGTAAAATGTACATCCATTTCATAGTACAGCAAATTAAATTTAAACAAGCTGACATACTTTTACATTTATAATATTATGTACATATGCAATAGGGAATATGTATAAATATTATTTATATAAACTTAATTAAAGTACTTTATTTTTCAGTTTCATTGAAATTCTGTACTTTTTGATTATTAATTTATTACATGATATATATATTAAATTTCCATTCAATTCAATTTATTTATTTGCTACAATACTTCATAGTGTTGGATATTTTTTATATGTTATAAATGACTAGATAATAGGTTTAATGATGTTTAATGACATGAATTAAGTTAATTTCAAATGACTTTCATGTTTCATGACTGTCAAAGTCTGTATTTATACAAATTTCAATTGTAAAATTTCCTTTGTTTAAAAAAAAGCAACAGTTGAGTTTCTTGCCTGTTCTTCTCAGCTGAAATTGCATTCCGAATGGGTGGTAGAATCATAAATAGTGACTATTCAGAAACATTTGTAAGTTTACTTAAAATATTATTCATATTCTAAATGAATAAATAAATTAAGTTGAAATAAAAATGCTTTACCAAAGATTTATTTTTTTATTTTTTGAACTAAATCTGACAGGGATTGACTTTGCCTTAGCCATGCGTCACTTATTTGTTGTAAGGCATGAACTAAGGCTCGCTGGTTCTCTGCCAAGATCCTTTCTGTCTCTACTCGGCGCTCTTCTATAGCGACAAATCTCTCTGTAAGACTTCTCAGTTGAGACTGCCGCTGTGAAGGAGGTGAGCGCCGGAGTAAGCGTCGTCGTGGTGCAGTTAAACGACGGCGTGGAGCTAATAACAACAAAACCAATTACACATATAATTCCAAAATATATAAAGTAGTTATGTATTTACAATACCCAGTTTAATTTTGTCCACTATTATGATTAATTACTTACATAAAGTAGCACTGCGTCTTGAAGTGGTGGGTGGTGGTGGTGGTTGTGGTGGTGGTGGTGGTGATGATGGTGGCGGTGGTGTAGGTCTATTGTCATACTAAAAATAAATAAAAAAGAACTAAATTTAACGGACTAAATCTAATACCTAACACATTATTAAATGCAGTTTTACCATCTGTTGTTCTGCAGGGTATTGAGGAATACTCTCCAGATTATCCCTCCGCCATGATGGTCCTGGCTGTGGATCCTGCAGACAATAAATATAAGTTACATTACATGCAATATGTAATTAGAAAATTTTTGTTACATATACATACTGGTATAGAAGGTGTAGACTCTTCAGTTCCTGTGGCTAATATAGGTATAGTCCCAGGCTCCACTGTTATTGACTGTACAACCAAAATTAAATTTTATATTAAAAATTTAAATATTATATGTACTGTTAGTGTACAGTTATATTAAATTTAATTGTATGTAATACCTGTAAGATACTTATAGATGAATCCACATCTGATGTAGAAGCGCTGGGTATATTCTGTATAAAAAATATATATAATTAAAAAAAAAGATATTATAAAAAATAAATATGTAATATCTATGCTGCAAACTATAATATACACACCAAAGAAATAGCTTCTTCAAGCTCTTTTCTGTTAGGATGATCTTCACTGGATTCCTATAAATGAAATATTTTACTTAATATTTTTTTTTGTACAATTTATATGAAAATTATAAATTAGGTCATGATGGTTAAAATAAAATAATAATTATTATTATAAAAAAGCCAATAAATAAAAAGAGAACATACATGGAAAGGGTTAATTTCTAGTTCACGATCCCCGTGAGCAAAGCCTTCTCCACCCATTATATTTATAATGCGTTCTTCTACAACAGAAAGCGCTAATTCCTCCACCGCACCACCACCAGTTTTTTGTCTTGCCACCCTTAGAAGGCTGGCTTTTCTTTTTGTTGCAGCCTTCTTATCTTTCCAGTACTATAAAATATTAGTATGAAAATAAATACTTATTAGAAATGCATAACATTTTATACATGCTTACTTATGTACTATAAAAGGAGGTAAAAACAAACCTTAGACCATTGCTGCCATGTTTTTAAACAGCCACGGCCGTCGCTGTTTAGTTTAACAGCAATGTCTCCCCAAGCGACTTTAGTACGGTCCCTAGCATTGGCTGTTCGTGCATGGCCTGTCGCAAGCCATCGCTGCTCCTCCATGCATTCCACCAGCATCTCCAACTGCTCTTGAGAAGGAACCGCACTTCTTGACATGCTACGAAATAGTTATTTATTTTAGTTATTAGAAATATAATAGAACTCTATTTAAAAGATCACACAAATAATTAAAAAGTACTACTTACCTATTTGATAGATAGATCCAAAGTTATGAATTTCAATTAATTTAAAAAAAGAATTATCTTAGTGTAGAAACTAAACAAGACAAATACAAAAAACGCGCGTCTGGAATGTTGTTTGGCGTGGCGTGACATCTTAGTCTTTTTTACGGCCATGGAAACAAGCTTATTCAAATTCAAGTTAAAAGACAAAATTAAATGTTTAGTGAATAAATTTATATTTATTTTGCTAAATGTTTATTCAGACAACATTATTAACTCAATAAAACATTTTCTTTACTAATAAAACACTATATTTGTTTAATTACCGGTTTCAATTTACGGTTTTTGTTGCAAGCCCTATCTCGTCCGTGCGCGCAGCCTCGAGTTATCACAGCCTACAGTTCGTCGATGAGGTTTGACACGTTAGTGAATACCAATTACCGCAGCGCTGTAGCCACGGTCGTTCGCAAGGCTGATCAGCCTAAAGCTCGTCGGCGGGCGCAGCGTTGCGGTAAATTTTTAGTGAATAGCATTGCTGATAGTGTATCCGCTAAGCTGATTGCAGGATATTAGGTATCAGAAAGAATTTCGATTTCTTTTATTGCCATCTCCGCGGGGAATTAAGGACCATATTATTGTATTAAATATATGGTTTGTTCCAATAGAACCTAATGGAAATGTACAAAAATATATACATATATATTGTACATTAAACTTTAATGCACGGGGGGGTAAGGGATTGTTAGTAATGGGGTTTAACTAACTCATTGCCAGCAATACACCCTGTTACACCTCCACATGGTTCCCCCTGAAAACCATCGTGGTTAATTCTAGAGGAATTCTCACGATGGGCTAACTGACCTGCTTTCATCGTCACTCATCATCGTTCACTGGTGCTCCTCCAGAGTATACCGATAGCGCAGGTAGGGTTACCATTCCATTATTACCTTATTATTAAAAAAACTTTAATGCACAGTGAAATTTTATGTACATTTAGATAGATAGAATTGATTTGTTAATAGTATTTCTGTGACAATTTCAACAAAACTTAGTTACCTTACCATTAAATTCTAAAGCGTTCAACCGACAGAGATCAAGAGGCTGTCCGCTTGGAGAATGTCCAAATACCTGTCTTACTAGCAATCCTCGGCCGTCCATCCTTAAACTATCTATGCTTCTCTAATAACTGTATTGCGCCCCAATTAACTTAGTGTTGGCGAGCTCAAGCGAAGATGTTGCGCCAGTAGCGTCAAAAAAACATAGGGAGAAACCTTATACGTTGTTATATACCCCTACCATACATAAACCGTTAATATAAGCTCAGGTAAATTTAAGCGCGTCAGATTAAGACAATAATCTGACGATTTGAGCGTGATATAAGGAAGGGGGCCAATCACAAAATTGTAAAAAAAAGCTTCACCTCGAAATACTCGAGCGTGATACTAGATGGCGCTACGTGTCATCTTTTCAACAATATAAATAAATATAGATTTACTTATCGAACACAATACAATACTTAAGTTATTTAGATAGAAAAACATCATGTTTCGTAATGAAATATGACATTTCAATAAGCGTAATTTCATCACGAAATGCGCAGCACGAAAATCAAAGCCTCTTTCAAAACGTATAGGCCGTAACTAATCGTAACTGACAGAAAGTATCATGAATTGATATTACAAGTCCAATTTGACCGCATGAAATCTATTGAAACGGATAAGGCTTACATTGAGATGAAATATTAAATGTTTACGAAATCAGTAAATATTTAAAGATAAACTGCACACTTTAACCGACTTGGAAAAAGTAGCTAATTAAAAGTGTATTAAGATAACTTTTCGACTTTCACTTGTTTTTTTTTTATATAACTGAGGTGACAAAAAAACATACGTCCCACCTGATGGTAAGAGGTTACCGTAGCCTATGAACGCCTGCAAAACATTGCATGATTTACAATTTATATGTATAAACGCAATTGTTTGGGTAAACTTGAGTTATGTAATCGGCGTAACCTGGTCGAAAAGTCGAGACAATTCAGATAATTACCATAATTTCATTATAACCAACGTTGTATGGAACGCTAGGTTCAATACGAGTGTGAATTACTTGTATTTTAGTCTAGAATGTTCGACTAGTTTCGAAACCATCTATCCATTAATTCCTACATTAATTTTTTTTATACAACTTAGAATGGCAAACAAGCTGACGGTCCACCTGATGGCAAGTGATATCCGTCGCCTATAGACATGAGCAGTACCATTGACATAACAGAGTATACTGTTTCGCCCATGATACCCCCCACGCGTTGCCATTCCTGAGGACTCAGGTGTTATTCCTCTGTACCATGTAAATTCACGCCATATCCCACCCTTCAAACCGAAACACAGCCATGCAAACACAACTGCTTCACGGTTGAAACACGAATGAGACAGAGGTACCTAAGCAATCGACTTTTGTACAAAGTCTCCCCCCTCTGGTAAATAATGTGCAATTAACTTTAAACAACATTAATTATATGAATTTTAATGTATCCAATATAAATTATGTGCAATAAAGATTTTACAATACAATACAATTAATTAAATAATAATCATTATGCACTTCTAGAACATTCTGAACACCCGAGGACCCGGAACTGTGAAACGGCGGATCCCTCCCATTCGCCGGTCACCCTGTCATGAGGCAGCGGCGTGGTGTGCTCCAGTGAATAATTGAGCTCCTCCGGTGGCTGGCCTTGACTGCGCCGGCTTACGACTTGGTACTACTCCGAGATGGATGACGTAGTTATGTAGACATACACAGTCTCAACACAAAAAACATTAAACTTGCGATAGGCAGGTGTTAAATAGATATTTAGATATCCCATTACAAAAGGGTGTCTAACATCTAATTACGTCTAAATAAAAATTTGAATTATTAAAAATATTAGGTGTTCAGAAGAATAGGAGGAATTAAAAAGGAGAACGTATTATTATTGGGGAGGCTAATCTTCGTGGCTAGACTTATATTATCAGGTCAACATCCACGGGTTTTTTTTATACCACTGAGGTGGCAAACAAGCATACAGCTCACCTGATGGTAAGCAGTTACCGTAGCCTATAAACGCCTGCAATACCAGAGGTATTATGCACAACAGTAGAGACCACATTCAATTTTATAAAAAAAAAAAAATATTTTGACATATATTAGTTTTAACAAGACCCCTTACATATTTTGTTACATGTCTCCCATGTACAGACATCATCCAGTTACAATTTTATTATATTAGTGATATATTAGGCAAAGTGATCCCTCGCGCGTGTCACTCTTAACTAAACCAAGGTTAAGAGGGACGGATTCTAAGAATAACAAGTACATTTACCACACAAGAGTTGCTTGTTGTGACGAGTTATTTCCAATAGTGCATTAAAGGCTGTGAAGTCGACAAACGGTCGCGTACCCTTTTGTCCGATAATTAGAATAAACAATAGATAGCAGAATTGCAGTGTAAACGAGAATAGAATTATTTCATGTGATCCCCGTACAAAAAAGACAAAGAATTGTTTCTGTTTTAAAAATAAAAGATTTTGTTTAAAAGCGGACCTTAGATAGGTCCGCTTTGTCGGCGTGTAAATAAAGCATACATTTTGTATTACATTATACGTTTATATTTTTGAATGGCATACACTATTTAATAGTAATTTTCTTTAATTGGATATTTTTTTTATACCACGGCTGTGACAACCATACAACTCATCTAATGGTAAACGGGCAATATAGTCGATGAACGCTTGCAATATTAGCGGTGCCACGTGAGCGTTGCCAACCCTGAGGAAACCTTAATACACCTTTTTGGAAAATTCCACACTAATTTACAAGGAAAACCTCAGCAAGCTCATTCCACAGGCTGTATTCGCGGGAAAAAAATCCTTTGAATAATTAATATGTATTTATTTATTATAAATTTAATTTATACCATTATATATTTTCATTAATGTGCATATAAATCATACAATCAATGTTGTGTCTACCATTGGAATGCATATCAGCATACTGCACATAAAATGTTTCTTAATTTATTTATAATAGATAGATAGATACATAATTTATTTTAAATAATTTAATTTTTAATATATGTATACTATTGCGCTATTGTATTGAGACGACGAGGTTAGTGGAAATACATATTTCCAATAGCTCGGTTATAACTGACAAAATTAAGAAATAAAAATGACCTTATTATACTAAATATTATTCATAATTTATTACTGGATCACGCTGTGTGCACATGTTGTGGCAAGTTTACCTGATCAATACATTAACGTACTTACATGTTATAGTTTAAGTTTGTATTTGTAAACTTCTGTTATGTGCGCCAAATAGATAAAATAAAATCAAATACAAATATAGGAAATTAACACAAAACTAGTGGGGCGATATATTGACCTAGTACATGTAGTGCTAGATTAGCAATTATTAAATTTCTTAGTAAACAAAAAATTTTATTGCACTGCACGCATGAATATACTTGTAGATATGACTCCATACGGGTATATACTATTGGTGTGTCTATTTCAAATAAATAAAACAATATATTATTCGCTTATTTTTTTCTGTTTTAGCTAAGATGTCTTCAAGATTTAGAATAACAGAAAGGCACCTTTCTTTTGAGATTTAGTAAACAAGATCCTTGATTAGTGTGTTGAACCGTTGCGGTGAAATTCTTAATCTCATATAAAATGAGATGAAAATGAAAAAAAAAAAAAAAAAATTAAAATAAATAATTAAGAGTATTTATCTAGTATTGATGTCATTATCCATGATGTCGTTTCTTAAGCTCATCACATTGCTTCTTTTACATCTATTTAAAAAAGGAAACTCTTATAATTTTTTTTTTCATTTATACTCACCAACTATAAAATAATGTTACGTTTTTTTTTTTTTTTTAATTAATTGACCTTAATCTCATATTAACAACTATGATTATACCGAAAGAAATAATTGCAAAAATACTTTTACTATATTAATAGCGAAGTAATAATTAATAATATATAACAGTAGCTGTTTAGTTTAAATACAACGTCACTGATATGTGTTTTTAACACAAAATCCTATACAAACCTTTCGAATATAATGGCTTGCGCGGGGTTGTTTCCAAAACAATACTAGATGGCGCTACGTGTTCCTTTTACATCAATAAAATTACAAAATTTACTTAATTACAACAGTAACAATAATATAAATAAATCTCTATGTAAATATATATACGTAATATATATACTTACATAGAGATGTATGTTAAGTATAATATTTCTCACATGTATATAAATCTAATTAAAACATTTGTGATTTTATGAAAGGGAAATTCCAGTAGAGATTGTAAATAAACTTTATCAATGGCAAATAAGAGTTAACCGACTGCGGAAGATATAGATAGCTGGTGATAGCGCCGCGACCTTCCACAGTTACCCGATTACGCAGGTAGCGTATATCAGATAAATCAACATTGTGTTAAAAACTGCTTATTCATTCTGGTTCACGAACAGAATCTTCGATCGTGGCAAAACCAATTATTTTAATATTTATAAACCATTAAACCGATTTTGATGAACACGTCCTGTCAAATAAAAAATGAATTCTCCCAATCGGTTTATAAATGACAGCGTTCTGAGGTAACAAACATAAAAAAAAAATACCGACTTGAAACCTCATCCTTCTTTTGAAGTTTCTAAAATAAAAAATGTAAGATTAAGACCTATGAATTGCCAAAAGGAATCTTCTATATTTAAAAATTATACTCAAGGCGACTACAAGGCAGATAGAGGGAGGGGCAGCCACGTCCTTTTTAAAACATCTCTAAAAGCCTAACTGCGATTGCTTATGTTCAGCAGTGGACAGTTAACGGCTGAGATGATGAAACAGATATTAATCATTGTGCCGTTGATTTTTATAATAGCTGAATAGTAACCAAATTTCATCCAAATTTTTAGTACATTTTACGCGATCCTGACTCTGTTTGCAAGTCGAAATCAATAATTAATTAACTCCTGCGGTTAAGTTCTGCAAATGAAAACTTTGACAGCACCCTTAACGGTAAGTAGGTTGAACTTTACATACGTTTAGAATGTATGGGCTGGGAGTAAATGTTATTTCTGCGTATAATCAAGATCCCAATTAGAAACCGTTCGCTTTATATCGAGTTCTTGGGAATACACGACAACTTAATACAATACTTTGACCAGTAAAATGTGTACATTTTGTTCTACAAAAAAAAAAGCCATCGACTTCAAACACGACAAAACCAGTACATTCGTTTAAAAACTAACTATTAAAGAGATTTTCATAAAATTTCTTTGAGACCAATTTTAAAGCATAGATAAATAGATAAATGCCTACTCTTCATTCTCTCACATAATCTCTCTTACATATTTATTTGTACCTCAAGTTGTTACTTTGTGAAGTTGTGTTTTGTGAATAGAAAATATACCATTCATTCATTCTTCATTATTTCTTCCATAAGATTACAGTAGTAAACCCATTATAAATATAAACAATTACAAGAAAATGTTACACCAAGAAAGCATAGTTTATCAAATAAAAAAAAAATCCTAATCGGTCTATAAATAACGGAGCTGTGAGGTAACAAAGGTAAAAAAATATACAACCGAATCAAGTCTGTCTTTTTTTTTAAATCGGTAATTAATAAATCCTATGCATAGCATTGGGTGGATGTCAGCTGATCTGAAGATCTATAGGCGACGGTTACCACTTTCCAAAAGGTGGGCCGTCAGCTTGCTTGCCATTCTAAATTGTATAAAAAAAAAACTACTACAATTTGCTAAAACAATAGAAAGCTAGAGCTTCCAAAAGCCGCTGTATTTATTTATTTAACTCACCATAATATTACAGAAAGAACAAGCAAATAAAACCTTTTATTTACGATCTTCCTTATTTAGATCCCATGGAATGTTTCAACCTTCGCGTGTTTACTTTGCAACTTACATTTTGATTCGCTTCCGTGACAAATTTTACTTATTAAGTACCCGTAACGAAATTATTGATCTTATATAGAACTTTAAACAAACTTGTTATTGTTAACTTTTTTTTTTCTGAGTTTCAGGTGCTTTTTTTATAGCACTGAGGTGGCAAAGAAGCATATGGGTCCACCTGACGGTAAGCAGTTACCCTAGCCTAAGAATAAAACCTAGTTATTTTTGTTTATAATTAGATGTTGTTTTTTTAAAATTTAAAATGACAAACAAGCTGATGGGCTACCTGATGGAAAGTGTTAACCGTCCCTTAAACATATGAACAGTGTCATAGACATAACAGAGTATACTGCGCCACCCATAATACCCTTCATGCATTGCCATTCCTAAGGGCTAAGATGTTATGCCTCTATGCCCTGTAATTTCACTACCATATCTAACAACAAACAGAACTGCTTCACGGCAGAAACATGAAAGGGACAAAGGTACTTAAGCTGACCACTTTCGTACAAAGTCTGCCTCTGATAGTGAGGTATATTTATTAAGACATCGCGTCCTCTCTGTTTGATACAGACGTAGGGACGCATGTTATAGTAGGCGCATTGTTTTGGCAAGGGTAGAATGCGGTATTAGGGGCCATAGGACAAACAATTTGGATACCTTTTAGTTATTTAACCGTGTAGAAGACAAACTAAAGGTAAACAAGGTTAAATAACAAAATGAATCAAAATGTTTTAACGAAAGCAAATGGAATGGTCACCACGCCTGCGTTAACGATACACGCTGGCGAGGCACCAATGGGAGATGATGACAAGTGAGGATGAAAGCAGGTATTTTGACCCATCATAAAGAAATCGATTAAAACGAACCACGACAATTTTTTAAATCACGTGAAAATCAACCTGTATAAGTATATTGCTAGCAATAGGGTTATTAAACCCCATTACTAACAATCCCTTTTACCCCGATATCTCGTTATATAACTGTGTAGTAAGTTACTGTTAAATAACTAAAAGTATCGGTCGACTAAACAGATACACAAGGGACTAATCAAGAGAAGGTCAGTCTATTTCAGACACAATCAACAATCAAATAGTTAAGAGTAGGTATGTAATTTAAGGATTTTTTTACAATTTGTTAATTTCGTATTAACTACATTTAGATATATACATAAATAGATTTGGCATTCTTTTTACTTTTTGCCAATCCTACGAATAAAGTTTTTAGCGGAAGAAAATTTGGAATTTGGACAATAGAAGATGTGTTTTCTTTTACGCAATAAAAATGGAATGGTACCATTGAACTGACAGCATACTAATGAGGGATTATAGGCCAATAGTAATACAATGCGATTTCTCTGATAATTAACCACGATCATTTCTAAAGGAAATCGCGAGGAAGTCGACCTGACAGGATATATTGCCAGCAATGAGCACGTAAGACTCCATTGCTAGCAATATATAGAGATCTGTTGGGTTCAACACTAAACAACAGCTAAATCAATTAGGGCACATCTTTTTTTTTAATATTCCTACTTTAAGGTATCCAGAAAAGGTAAAAGTGGACAGGACGTCTATAAAATACATAATAATAATAAAAAAAAGAAACATATTCGATATTCAAACGTCACTCAACGGCTACAAAACAAAGGGAGCGCGTCGCCTTGACACGGCGGCCACTCCCGCGCAATCATCCAATTGGCGCGAAACCGGACAACATGGCGGACCATCGTTACTTACATACAGGTGTGCTGGTTATGTAAAGATGGTAATGCAACGTAATAATAAAATTCGTACCAATCAATATGCTCGTTGAACTCACTGAATCTGTTTATTAGTATAGAAAGATATTACTCGCATACACTGATAAAATTTAATCGATATTTGGTTCGTGCTTTAGTAATAATCAAGTTTTTCTGAGATGAATTTCGAATGGTACCCTCCGCCTACAAAGGGGAAAGGAATTGTTAGTAACGGGCACTAACAGCTCCATTGCTCGCAATATCAAGTTAACCACCACAAGGTTCCTTTCAGGAAACTATCGTGATTGCTTTATTGCCGAATTCGTCACGATGGATCAACTGCTTTAATCTGCTTCATCCTCGCCTATCATCCCTCACCTGTGCCCCGCAAGCGTATACCGACAGCGCAGGCGAGGATAACATTCCATTATCATTCATTAAAAAAAAAACATCGTGTTTCCTATTCTATGTATCCTTGATGAAATTTCATAAAATTATTAATATAAGTACCTACCTACCTCGCATTGTGTTTTCTCTCGAAAATTTGCCAACAAGAAACTAAATATCTTTAGCATTGTATGTCTACAATGTAGCCCAAACCTATTATTTTGTTGATCGCTTAACTTAAATGTAGGTATACGTTTTATCAGAAGCGGTCGAGCTAATCATACGCCAGAGTATGACCCCGCCATTGTTTCTTTACTTTGTTAGTACGATAAGTTAGTCATGTTTACAAAACATCCAAATGATTATGCAAATACCTATACATAAAAAACTTATATCTACTGATATAATAAAATTGTAAATGGAGTATGTCTGTTCATAAATCTATTTGTTTGTATGTTTGTTCAGGTATTACGCAAAGACTACTGGATCAAATTGGATGCGGCTGTCACAATTATATTCCTAAAGGTTTTTATTATCTTATTCATTAAATATTATAAATTAAAAACTTTTTACACAAGAAAATAATTTCACTAATAAATTAGTATTAAACACTAAACTAACAAAAAAGGGAAACGTTAAGATAAAAAAAAAATCGTTCCAAAATTAATTAAGACATTACAAAAAAAAGTGAAACCTCATTACAGGTCGGTTGAAAAACACGACAAAATAAATATTATAAGATAGCGGTATTCTGCTAACATTAGTATCTCAAAACAATCAATATCATATTACTTGTACGTGGCAGATAACGTGGAATCAATATGCGGTTGTTCGTGGCGCCGGCCCGCCGCGCGGCGCCATCTATTATGCAATAGCGGAACCTTGCAGTAAACTGCGAGAGCTATTTGGTTCGTGCCGAGCCGTATAAAATATTCACAGCGTGCCGCGCGCGAGGTTCTTGCACTTGGAAAATTGTTGCGCTTTTAAATCATATTGGCGCTAATAAATACGAACGGAACAAATTGAAATAAATGTCTGCATTACGTGCAATATAATAAATACTTTATCAATTTAATTGATAATTTTTTTTTTTTACGCAATCAGCAGTAAACTTTTAATAGTTGTAATTCTTTTAGATTTCATTATCTATAGATATAAATCTAAAAAAAAAATTACAACATTGATGTAGATGTGATGAAAATGGAAAGATAATCACCACGCCTGAGGTAAAGATATACGCTGACGAGGCACTAAAGAATAGACGAGGATGAAATAATTCAGTTGGCCCATAGTGACGAATAGAGTTTTTTTTTTTATACAACTCAGAATAGCACACAAGCTGACGGCCCACCTGATGGAAAGTGGTAACCGTCGCCTATAGACATGAGCAGTACCGTGGACATAACAGAGTATACTGTTTCGCCCATGATACCCCCTATGCGTTGCCATTCCTGAGGACTCAGGTGTTATTCCTCTATACCCTGTAAATTCACGCCATATCCCACCCTTCAAACCGAAACACAGCCATGCAAACACAACTGCTTCACGGTTGAAACACGAATTGGACAGAGGTACCCAAGCAAACGACTTTTGTATAAAGTCTCCCTCTGGTGATTTAATATGATGGTTACCAGGAGGTACTACGCGCAGGTTGATTAGTCTGCGTACATTGGCATTATATGGCTCATAGGTTATATAATATATATACTCATAATATATCGTCATAGTCGTAGAATACTGACGGATCTTTATATGTAATCTTCGTCAGATCCGTCAGTATTCTACGACTATGACGATATGTTTTTTCCTAATAATAATCTTTATTTGCTTAAACACGGTAAAGTCAAAGATGTTACATTAGTCAAAGAACTTTTTTTTTATATACCACTGAGGTGGCAAACAAGCATACGGCCCACCTGATGGTAAGCGGTTACTGTAGCCTATGAACGCCTGCAATACCAGAAGAATTACGCACGCGTTGCCGACCTTGAAGAAACCTTTTTACCCCCCTTTTGAAGAACCCCATACTGTAGTCTCTTGGGAAAACCTTGGTAGGGAGCTCATTCCACATTCGTGCTAAGCTATTAACGTGATATATATAATTCATTTAACATTAAAAATTACCAGTTGACATTTTGTATTTTGTTTAAAAAGTCTCTTTCATCATAGGCTCCTTTTACCCCGGTCAATCGATGATCAAGTCGAAGTGACGGTCACAGCTCTATATATAATTAACTAAATAATTCTATATAATTATTCATATTGCAGTTGTAATTATATATAATTATCATTATTAGTGCAATCAACGCCTGAATACAACTATCCATTATCGGTCAGCCGATGACGTTCGCGTCAGCTGTATACGCCTCCCCGATACAATCATTGTATTATCATTTACGCGTGATGTTAACATGACTCGATTAGAATGTGGGCACACAACAAAATCGGACCTCATACAGCATCTGGCGGGGGGAAAGGGATTGTTAGTAATGGGGATTAACTGCCCCCTTGCTAGCAATATATCAGGTCGACCTCCACGCGGTTCTCCCTGGAAATCATCTTGATTAATTCTTGTGAAATTTGTCAGGATGGGCTAACTGACCTGTTATCATCCTCACCTATCATCCCTCACTGGTGCCCCGTCAGCGTATACCGATAGCGCAGGCGGGGTTACCATTTCATTATCACTCATTAAAAAAAAAAACATACAGTATCTAGCAGGCACGGCCTAACCTAAAAGGCGGAGAGGAAAGGGATTGTTAGTAATGCGAACTACCAGTACATTTGCTAGCAATATACCCTATCAGGTCGACCTCCACGTGGTCCCCCTGGAAGCCATCGTGCTGAATTACAGATATATTCATTACGATGGGATAACTGACCTGCCGTTTCATTTTCACCTATCATCCCTCACTGGTGCTCTACCAGTGTATACCGTTAGCGCAGGTTAGCATTCCATTATCACCCATTGATAAAAACAAACCTAGAGGGCGCCAGTGGGGGAATATTTTCTTAGAAATGGTGGTGTAACGACCCCATTTAGCAAAATCAAGCGTCAGTATAGCGATGGCGGGATTAAAAAAGAAATGCATTAGTTGAACTAATAAATACCTATAACGGCTAAATTAATATAAATTTACTAAAGAATATTTTAAACAATGAAAACGGTATGGTGTATATGGTATAAATCTCCCCTTCTATCGGTACGGGCACCAATGTCTGATATCATGACGCCCATCTTGACGAATTCAATAGGAATTAACGACGGTTTCCAGAGTAAACAGCGAGAAGGTCGACCTGACACGATATATATTACTAGCAATGGTGCTGTTATACCCTATTACTAACAATTACTTTCCCATAACTGGCGGGCTACTAGCGAGGGAAGGCTCAACAAACTTTACTTCAATGTAACACAATTATCTCTCACCGACGCCAAAGTTTATAGGCGAGATTACCATGTCATATTAAACTATTAAAAAAAAAAAGAATTTATATCAGACATGACAACAATAATAATTCTACATAACAATAACACATATAACGTGTAGGTGCAAACTGAAAATCAGCGCTGAACGTACATCAGTCCAGCAAAAGCTGAGTTTGTACCTATTGCCAGGCGCATACGATTACTGCACAATATACTGATTAATGAATATATGTACATTATAATTTCTGTGAAGAATGGCAATACATTTAATTATTATTATTATTAACGGCCAACAAGAATGCATAAATGGTAAAGCGACCGCCACGCGACTACGACGGCTCATATTTCAGACTAAACCACGGATTAGTTGACAGCAACTTTGTAAACTAAATCAATATATTTTATGTAGTACTAGCGGCCCGTCCCGGCGTCGCACGGGTGGACATTTTTACATTTAAAATAAATGGCCATTAAGGCTGCACACGCGATGGAAGCATAAAAATGGAGTAACTTCTCCCGTTTTCCCAACATTTCCCTTCATTGCTCAGCTCCTATTGATTGTAGCGTGATGAAAAGTATACTATAACCTGCCCAGGAGTATGAAGAATAATTGTACCAAGTTTCGTTAAAATCCGTCGAGTAGTTTTTGTTTCTATAACGAACATACAGACAGACAGACAAAAATTTTACTGATTGCATTTTTGGCATCAGTATCGATCACTAACCACCCGCTGATAGTTATTTTGGAAATATATTTCATGTATAGAATTAACCTCTCTACAGATTTATTATAAGTATAGATATAGATGTACTTTCGCTATAAATATAAGACAAAATGATTACCTTCAAAATCATTAAATAACTAGAAATTCACTAGGATTCAATATGCTCTTTTTTAAATAAATTATATTATTCACTAACAATAGGGTCGGTTGAATCTAGCATGGCTATTGTTTTTTTTTAATGGATGACAATGGAATGGTCACCCCGCCTGCGCTAACGGTATAGGACTGGCAGCGCACCAGTGAAAGATGATAGGTGAAAATGAAAAGGCAAATCAGTTAGCCCATCCAGGTGTATTCCACCTGGAATTTAACACGATAATTTCTAGGGGAGAACCACGTGGAGGTCGATCTTGAAACCATCATAAAATAGATTCATAATTTGGTCTTAAACCTATTAGAAAATCAGTTCTGTTAAGATGGTTATATTAAAAAATAGAGGATAACTTTTAATTAATCTTATATTTTATTTATAAACATATTTTAACATTGCAAACGCAAATGACAGACAAAACCAGAGAGAGAGTGAATACAATATAAAGGTTTGCGCGGGGTTGTTCCCAAAGTGATACTAGATGGCGCTACTTGTACCTTTTTACATAAGTAAGGTTATAAAATTTACCTAATTATAACAAGTTCATATCGGTGGTTAGAATAAAAATTTCGCTGTGATATCAAATCGAAATTTTGATTTTGAGATAAGTTTAAGAGTTCCTTTCCTGTGAGTGTCGTATGAGGCGACCAAGGGAGTTTCATAGAGGTGAAAGGACTTTTTTAATAGATAAAATATTTTTCAAGCTCAATCATTAAACACAGAAAAATTCCTCTTTATAGTACTGGTTTAGATATGCAATTAATTATCGCCAAGCGAACATAATAGTAATGAATACTATACTAATATTACCGATAATAATATAATCATGACAAATTACGAAAACGACTTACGATTACATAATTTCAATAATGACAATTAGGTCATTAGTATACACTAAATATTTGACGGAATGATGAATTATGCCAATTTACAGTAATGTAAATTCATAAGAAAAAATATGATTCATGAGTAAATTAGCACTAACGCAATATTCTTTTTGTGGGACATAACCTTTAATTACTTAAAGTCTAAGAAAGATAAGAGCCACCTGCCTACCCTAATGGGAGACAGACGTGACACGATACGTATGTATATATGAAAGAAAAGGTAGGCGTGACAACTCCATATATTATTCCTCTTCTCCACCCATTTTGGAGTTCCATCAAAAAACACCTTCAATGAGTAAATTTCTCCCAGTTTCAAATGACAAAATGTACCAAATAAATCCGCCATTTTAAGTAGCTCCGCAACTATTTACAACAGCATTATTTTCGCAAGCGGATGCAAAACATGCGTGCGCGATCGTGACAACCGATAGCGTTGGTAAGGTGCTCGAAACCTAATAACGTGCTATGAATGGCCTCAGATCGTTCACCTTGTTGCAGGCGAATTTGACTACTATATGACGTGGCATTTTATTAGTGACGAGATCTAACAGACCTATTGCTAGCAATATACTCTTTATCAGGTCGACATCCACGCAGTTCACTCTGGAAATCTTCGTGATTCATTCCTTGTGAATTCGTCACGACCAATTAACTGACCTGCTTTCATCTTTGTCTATCTTCCCTCACTGATGCCTCACCAGCATAGATAGTGCAGACAAAGTTGCTATTCCATTATTACTCCTTAAAAAAAATATATACTTTATTGGGCCGATTTCCACTACCTGGTCCTACTGTGGTCCTACTTGGAAACCATCTTGTTTTTTTTTAACGGATAGTAATGGAATTGTAACCCCATTCGCGCTGTATGTATGGACTAGCGAGATATCAGTGAGGGATGATAAATGAGGATGAAAGCAGTTCAGTTGACCTGTTACGATCCCTGTCCCGTGACAGATTGATCAAGAATTAGTCAAAATGATTTGGGAAGGGAAGTTGTTAATAACGGAATCTAGTGGTCTGATTGCTAGCAATATACTGTCAGATCGTCCTCCACGTGCCTCTAAAAACCATTGTCGTTAATTCTTGGTAAATCACCATGACGGGCCAATTGATCCACTTTCTTCCCTCACTGATGTTACGCGTAATGTATACCGATAGCCACAGGCGAAATTATCATTATAATAACATAAATAAAAAAAAAGTTTTCGACATTTCAATTTCTAGGGTCACCGGTCCTGGCTCCGGTCGTCTTCAACTCGGGAGCCCGGGGACCCGACATATGCGCCTCGAGGTACGTCGTGAGGTTTTAGTGGGTAAAAATCTCACACACCCCCTCTGCCTTCCCTCCGGCAGTTGGGAAGGTCTTTGGAAGATTTCGTCACGTTAAAAAAAAAAGGTCACCGGTCCTGAAATGGATAATTTGTCATCCAAATTCAATTTTGGAATATCTTCAACAAATATCCATTACCAAATTCTTACAATCGATTGTATTATGAAAATATAAAGAGTGCACGTAGTCACGCGACAAAGATGCGCGCGCGCGCCGCGGTGACGTCACCGCGGAAGCTAAGGACGTGCTCGCCGTTCGCGGACAGGGTTGCCAATTGTGAATAGTAGTAGTAGTAGTATTATACTAAAATACGGACAGGGCTGTCAATAGCGATTTGTACTATTATATCTCATTCTTATATAACTATTAATGACAATTTTATTTATTAAATGTTTGTTTAATATTTAAAAAAAAAGAATAGGTTTAAAAGTATGTATAGGTTTAATAAAATGTCTGGACATAAAATGTAGATGTAATGCAAAATCTGGTCAAAGATAAATTATTATATAATGTGACAAACTGGCGATGTTTAGAACTTCTCCATTGTATCTCACTCGCTTATAAAACCGTAAATAAAAATAACATTTCTACTTTTAGTTTTCTTTACTAATTTTAGATATAACATATTTAAAACCATTTCGAAATAAGTATTTTTAATAAGACAGTATACACATATTTTGATTAAAGATATACAATATAATATTTACAAGGTGTCAACCCTACAGACAGGTGACTAACCTGAACAAGTCGTGTGGGTTGGAATCGGTTTGCAATACATTAACTAGACATTTTATCTTTTTGAAGTATCTCGATATATTTTAGTATTTTATTGCAATGATTGCATTTATAAATAAATAGAGGAAGTGGCAGAGATATCGCCACGTGGAATAGTTATGTAAACAATATAGAATGCTTTCACAGGGTGCAATCGCAATATAAATTAAGTCTTTTTTTTTTATTTCTGGTCTATCACCTATAACAACCTATTCATAACAATTTCACTGTAACTAATACAACGTAAATTTATATTATAAAGAGGAAGGATTTCATTTATTTATTTAAACTTTAATGCACAGTAAAATTCTATGTAGGTACATTTGACGGACTTAACACCGGACGGTGTTCTCTACCAGTCAACCATTGGGAAAACCGAGAAATATATAGACGGTGCATTATTGAATAGAAGAAAAATAAAGAAAAAAAATTAAGGTAAAATAAATAATAAAAAATAAAATAATTTTTGTTTGTAATGGATAAAATCATAGAATACCTTTTTTTTTCATTTAAGAGTTTCCTCTTGTCGGTGCAACTAATTCATGCATCTTCCTCCAGCCAGCTCTATCCCAGGCCATATCCTTTACCATAGAATACCTACTTAAGCGATTTTAAAAAATCACCTATACTAAGCTACCCTATCATATCAGCTGTTTATAATTACTCCTGCTCATCCAAAGGTTTTTTTTTGTTGGATGAAAATGGATTGGTAACCCCGCCTGCGCTAACGGGATACACTGGCGGAGCACCAGTGAAGGGTGATAGATGAGAATGAAAACAGGCCAGTTAGCGTATCATGATGAATTCATCAGGAATCAATCATGATAGTTTCCAGGTCGACCTGGTTAGGTATATTGCTAGCAATGGGACCCTCAGTCTCGATTACTAACAATCCCTTTCCCCCCGCTCATCCAAAGGTTATCTGGAAGAAATCGCTATTAGCGATAAGGGCGCTCATTATTTTCTCATTATGATTATTTCTCGTAATTGTTTGTATGTATAATAAGTTTACTAATATAGTCTTTTGAAGGAAACAATATAGAGTATCTATTTATCTATCTATTTATTTATTTCTGAGGGAAGCTTCCAGCTATAATAACATAATAATATATTATATATGACATCAAAAAGATAATTATAAATTACCACATTTAGTTAATGAAAATTGCAATTAGTTGCAGTCTAAATAATTAGTAAGCGAGGAAACGTAGGACGTCGTTAAAATCACTAAATGAATAATTTGCGATATTTTTTCTTGTAATAACTGCTGCTATTAAATATTTCCATTTCATTAATAAATAATAAATATACTTATAATGCTTTTGAACGAAATGTCTATCAATGTATGAAATGAGTCGTGTTGCTAGATCTGCTTATAGATATGGTAGCTTTAGTTGTTGAGCATTTAATAATAGTTTTAAGCTATATATACATACATACATACATATATATATATATATATATATATATATATATATATATATATATATATATATATATATATATATATATATATATATATATCTGTATCAATACATGCTGTGTTTGCCTATAAAAAATTTTTACACTTAGCTCTAAGCTCCATGATTACACTTACACTATCTTATGGAAACAATTGTTGGTGAACCTAAATAAACAAATTACCTAAACACAAAGTAATTTATATATTTTCATTCAAAATACATACACATCTATATAAAAAACGCACATATACATACAAAAACATAATAAATGTATGAGGAGAGAAGACGCTCTTTTAATCTGTTTTTAAAAATACTCAACAATTGACTGAGTTTCGCGAATGTGTATTTGAAGAGAGTTACATAGTACATAATTTTTTTCGAACAGATTAGAATAAAACGATAAGTATTCAAATACGAACTTCACGCGGGGATAAATAGCCCATTATTCCAGATACAGATCTAATATACTGTCGCTGTATGGATAGATAATAATAATACAGGCGACAAACACGAAACAGTCGACCGAATTAGAAACGGACACGAGAAAGCAATAGGAGACCGCTATAAAAACAAAATGCACCGCGTTCCGGCAGCGAGAATAGGAAAATTTTCAACAAAAACAAAAAAAAATATAGAACATTACGTGTTCTATATTTCAATTTTATTATATTACCAATATAATAAAACTGTAACTAGACTATGTCTGTACATGGACTGGCAGAAATTCAATTTTTCAATACTAAACTTGATTGAATATTGAGTGGCATCGAAATTGGATCTATTCGAGTGAATTAAATACCCAAGCTAATATCAACATAACTATAGGCGGGTGCATTTTTATATTTATATATTGTTCTACACTATTTGCTTCTAGATTATTTGCAAAAAATAAAAATCAACTTTTTATTTATATTCTATACATATAATAAAACTGTAGAGGTCGCGTGTCTGTATTATAGAAACAAAAAACGCTAAAAACCGAGTTTAGCGTTTTTAGCGAGTTCGTTTAGCGAGAAATTATATACTCACGACTATAATCTTTAATTGTGAAGTTAGAGGCATTTGTTAACTGCTGCTGTAGTTGTAAACATAACATTTAACATACTCACAGTTCGTCGAGCATGTTAGAATCCAACGTGGCAAGAGTCGCCTCCTATTGTCACTACTCGGTTTTTTTCTTTAGTAAGATTCGAACTCACGACTTTTGCGGACTATAAAGTCGAGAAAGCATTGGTATAATAAAATTTTACGTCCTTAACATAACTTAGAATTTAGAATAATATATAACATTGGCAAGAGCTCCACCGACAAGAGCGCAGCTCTTAAATGGATAGATAGATAGATATAACATTAGCTATATTCCGCGGCTTTGCCCGGATGAATGCATAAACTGTACATAAGTATCCTACGTGTTAAGTTAGAATTGGTATCCGATTACAAAATTTTATTAAAACCCTTAGTGATTTTCGCTTGAAACAGCAACTAACATCTATACATACACATGTCCCATTCATCCTTCCCGTTTATCCCAACCATCTGGACGAGTGGCGGTCCTCCACCGTGCGGTTTTCAAGGCACTTTCTCCCACGCACAACCACTCTTTGGAATCAATTTCCAGCAGCAGTATTTCCGAACCGATGCGACAACATAACCTTCAAGAAAAGAGCATATTCCTTTTTAAGAGGCCGGCAGCACACCTGCAATGCCGTAGGTGTTGTGGGTGACCATGGGCGGCGGTAGTCACTTACCATCAGGTGAGCCGCATGCTTGTTTGCCCCCAGTGTTGTAAAAAAAATGTCCTTACAAACTTTTGCATTCATATTAGTAGTGGGAAACGAATAGCGAATATACATATATCTAAGTTTAAATGTAATAATACACGAACGGATACGGACCGTAATGTATTTTGTAGGAGTGTAACTGGATTTTACAGGGTACACGAGTCCCACTGAATTAATTCCGAGTTTTAATTAGGATTGTGTCGGGATTAGTAAAGGGAGATGTAATAATAATACACGGATTGGTTTAAATATGCGCCTAATAAATGAGGTAACGTTACATTGTTTTTATTTTACTTTTAGCTAATTACAATTAATATATTTGCTGGAATAAGGTATATTTTACATAACAAGAAAATTATAGTCCTTATACACTAACTAACCCTAACATCGTAGCTTTCAAGAAAACAGCATAAAAACATTCCTTTTTAAAAGCCGGCAGCCAACCTGCAATGCTTCCGATGTCGAGCATGAACACGGGCGGCGGTAGCCACACACCACAAAAAAAAATCCTGTAGGCTAACCCTTTATATAGTCAAAATATTTACTTAAAAAAATTACAATAAATAATACTTAAATAAATGCGAAAATTTGGATGTTTGATGTACTCAACGATTGAACGGCTTTAAATGAAATTTAGTTATAAAATATACCTGCAATTCTAGATTAACAATAATTCAGGCACGCAAAGCCGCGGGATACAGCCAGTATCTTACAATGTGCAGTCGCACTGAGCAACAACAATATTCCTTCAAGAAACTCCCAACTTCACGTCGATCGAGCGTTACGTGTACGTGGCGATTTGCCAATATTATGCGCCCATGATCTTCCGGAGCGAAAATAAAACGCCACCTGCATCTGTCCCTAATTACAAGGATTTACATAAGCGACACCTAGTTATTGCTCCCCCAAAAAAATACGAATTCAATCCAGATATTAATATTGTAGTTACTATTAAGATTTATAATTTTCTATTATCTTCTCAACGATCTTTTTCCATAGAGATCCCTCTATGGGAAAAGACCGCCAGTGTTATATGAAATCTTTTTAATGTGTCCAATGTACAGTATGTACAATAAATATTTTAAAATACAATACTATATTACCTAGTAATCTCATTGTAATTATTCTTATTTTAAAACAAAAGACATAGTAGTAAATAGACAAAACAATAAAAGAAATAGTGGTTGACTAGCAGATGTTGCATAGAGTTTCATTCTATAAACAACTGTAAAATGTACTTACCACAATTGGCGTCGTAATTTCATAACAAAGCTACAAAAAATTACGGACAAATTGCTTCTTTTCTTCTCGAGCCCTCAAAAAGAAAAGATGGATAAAGCTTAAACTGACTATTGACAAGTTAACAAATAATCATGTTTATAACTTTAATGCCATTTGAAATGACAAGTGCAGCTTTCAAGTGCAAATTGCACTCCGACCCAGTAGAGAAAGCCGGGCCGCGTAAGCGGAGTCCATTTATAGGTTTATAATGTCTTCGAGTTTTATGTTGCTTTGGTGACAGGTGGCTGACTTTCTTTAGTATTTGCTGCATTTAAATAGACTATACTATACTTCTTCTAAAGTTATATTATTAAAGGGGGTAAGGAATTATTAGTAATGAGGTCTAATAACCCCATTTCTAGCAATATGCACTCTCAGGCCGACCTCCATGCGGTCCCTCCCTCCCCCTGGAAACCATAATAGTTGATTCTTTTTGAGTTCATCATGGTGGGCGTGCTGCGTTCATTCTCGCCTATCATATTCCACCGGTGACCCGCCAGTGTATACTGATAGCGCTGGCGGGGTTACCATTCCATTTTTACCCATTAAAAATAAGTTATATTATCACACTAAATAATACAACAATTGAGTATCTATACACCAAACTAACTTTTACGAGGGACAGTCTAAATTAATCAAATATTGAGGGCTCTCCTTTCAGACAAGTTTCGTACGACGCAGATGTTGGCGAAAAGGTTATTTTATATTTACCAAGTAAAAAAGACGGAGACTACCTAATCAGTTGTGAAGGAATTCAGAATAAGTTTTTAAGATGATTTATGACTCGCAAACTTTTACCCGTGACTTTTTTCACCTTATTCTATCCACGAGTTGATTAAAAAAAGCTTTTGTACTTTGATGTTCAAAGTTCGTAGTAATATGAAAAGTCAACGAGTGGGATCCTCTTCCGGCATCTGTGTTTCTATATCACTTTAACAAGGGATATTTCAAATCTAGAGTGAATGCATTTTTTTTTTCAGTTTTAGACCTTATTGTCCCGGCATAGAATAGGTTACTCCTTTTTTTCTCGTAGGTGTCGTAAGGGGCGACTAAGAGAGGGTGAGGGATGTGCAGCAGCGTCCCTCTTAAAACATATCTAAAAACCTAACTGCGGTTGCCAATCCGCCTACCAAGCGCGGCAATTACTAGCAAAACCCCCTAAAGGGGTGGCTTATGTTCAGCAGTGGACAGTTACCAGAGGGAGACTTTGTACAAAAGTCGATTGCTTGGGCACCTCTGTCCCATTCGTGTTCCTACCGTGAAGCAGTTGTGTTTGCATGGCTGTGTTTCGGTTTGAAGGGTGGGATATGGCGTGAATTTACTGGGTACAGAGGAATAACACCTGAGTCCTCAGGAATGGCAACGCATGGGGGGTATCATGGGCGAAACAGTATACTCTGTTATGTCCACGGTACTGCTCATGTCTATAGGCGACGGTTACCACTTTCCATCAGGTGGGCCGTCAGCTTGTTTGCCATTCTAAGTTGTATAAAAAAAAAAGTTACAGGCTGATATGACGATGATGATGTCATTTAAGATCAGCATCGCTATTAAGACTTTGTACAGACAATTTACTACAGTATATTACTATCAAATTTCTACAGTAGTTGTGGTATTCAATGATTAAACGACATAGCGTTTTGGTTTATAGGATGGTAATCTATCTTATGTAAACTAAAGCCCGATACTATATCTAGTAACAAAATCTAACATTGAAATCATATAAGAAAGCGGAAGAGGCATATCATAAAATTAAGCATAATTGATACAATAACAGAAATTAAACAGAACTACAAAGAAAACGTGTGACCGCAAAACGCAACGGTTACGTAAAACGTCACTTACGTTTTACGTAAGTAATTAACTGTTATGAACTCAAAACAGATTAAAGTACATTTATGTGGCGTAAAAAATTTAGATTAACACGTTTCGTTTTA